GTGGGAGGCGGCTGTGCCGGGACCTTTGGGAGGGGACTGTGGGAGGCAGCTGTGCCGGGACCTTTGGGAGGGGACTGTGGGAGGCGGCTGTGCTGGGACCTTTGGGAGGGGACTGTGGGAGGTGGCTGTGCCGGGCCCTCAGGTGGGGCTGTGGGAGGCGTCTGTGCTGGACCTCGGAGAGGGGTCAGGCCCTTTGGGTGGTCTCGATGGGGGAGGGGAGCAGCCCAGGCAACTGCAGTGTTGTCAAGCCTCGGGGATGCATGTCCACCTTTTCTGAGGAAGGTAATTACGAGTCTGTTACTGGAAGCTTCTCGTAGCGGCAGAAACGACTTCAGAGCGTTCTGAAGTCTGCTGAGCTCTGGAGCTCTGGGACTGCGACACTGTCTGCATGCCTCTGATCTGGGCGCCCAGCTGGAAGGGCCACCTGCTCGGCCCAGAAAGGCCCAGATACTGACAGCACTCCTGGGCTTCCACTGAGCAGTTTGCACGGGGCCCCTGGTTTAAAGCCAGCGGCAGGATGAGGGTTCTCTTACTGAGTCTACAGCTGGCCACACCTCCATTTCCTGGGGTCGCCTGCGGGAGGTCCCAGCAACTCTGGCCTGGCCGCCACTCTCTGCAGCTGCCTTGTGTGGGGTCACACTGCAGGCTCACTTGTGGATGCCACCAATTACCCGGTCACCAAGACACTGCCCAGTGACTAAGGCCGTCGTGGAGGGCAGGGAGAGGGCCCGGGGGCTACGAAGGGGTCTCTGGGGACATCTTTGCCCAGACACTGGTCACAGCAACTGCCAGGGCATCTCAGCACCCGGGCACTGCAGAGTCTGTGCAGTGGCACCTCTCATGGCTCAGAAAGGCGGCGGGGCGGAGCCTCAGCCTGCCTGCCCGGCTCGGCCCCTGTACACATGCCCCACGAGGCCCACCCCCCTGCCCCGGCCTGCCTCTTTCTTCTCAGCCCAGGCTGCTTTCTCCTTGAGACCTGACCCACCCCGAGTCTCTTCCCTTGGTGAGCTCAGGCCCCGGGGAAGACTCTGCCCAGTGTACCCCCCACTCGCCTCCAGCCAACCCCAGGCTCCCCCAAGGGCTGAAGCTTCTCAACAGGGCTGGGGGCTCCTTCCCTGGATGGCCCTCCCCTCACAGCCGGGCATTTGAAGTGCAGACTCAGTGGCTGAGACAGGCCCTGCCTACAGTGGGAGGTGAAGCCAGGTAGAGGAGTCCCCGTCGGCCACAGGGAAAGGGTTCCATGCCCCTCCCTCAGCCTACTGCCATGTGCCAAGCGACCTCCAAGCAGGGGCCACTTACTCTGGGGATGACTCTGGGGTCAGGTTGGACATCTCCTCCGGCGTTGGAACTGTGTACACGGGATGAACAGAAGGGAAGGCCGGGTGACTGCCTCATCCTTCCCCTGCCCTGGCCACCTTGAGCTGAGGTCAGGGTCATCAGGAGTCCACCACACACTGGGACACCCCCCAGGGCCACGGGTCCACCCCAGCTCCCGGCCACCTTAGAAGCCCCACCGGCCGAGGCGCCCCCTGGCTGCAGGGAGCTGTCCCAGCCTCTGGTGCTGAAGTTGGCTGTGCCTTCTCCAGCAGCACTAACTGGCCCTCGGTGCCCCCCACACGGAGCCTCCTGACTGGCAGTGCCCACTCGGTGGCCAGCCTGCCTTGCTGTGTGCCTAGCCCAGGACATGGAGTGAGTGGACTTGGGAACACAGAATGTCCGGAGTGGATGCCAACTTGGGTGGCAGGCAGGACACGAGCTGCTGCCCGGCACTTTTGCGACAGCGATGGGCAGTAGACAGGGCTAGACCTCCCATGCAGCTGCAGGCCCTTCGGACTGGTCTGGCACCACTGGGCGGGCCCTCCCCTTCCCCCTCCCCCTCCCCTCCCCCCCCCCTTCCCCTCCCCCTCCCCTCTCGTCCCCTCCCCCTCCCCCCCTCCCCTCCTCCCCTCCCCTCCCCTCCCAGAGCAGTCTCTGCGCTCTCCCAACTTCACTCTGGCACCTCCGGGCAGACATTCACCTTGCAGTTTCCGGCGGTGGAAGCGGGGTGAGCCCAGGAAGCTGTTCTTGATGGAATTGAGCCTCGCCCTCCATGGCACCCCTCCGACGCTGGGGCTGGATGGTGGCGTGGGGTTGGGCGTGCCAGCCGGGCTCTCCTTTGGCGTGTGGACAGGTGTCCCCTTGGGGGTGGGGAGGGGACTGCCCCTCGGTGAGGGGTGAGGGGTCACCTGTATGGTGGGGACAGATTTGGTGTTTGGTTCAGTCCCGGTGGGTGGGGGCCGAGGAGGCACCCGCAGGGCAGGCGGGCCCAGGGGTGGTGCCAGCTGGGGACCGAGGCTGGCAGCAGGAGGCCGAGCTGGGGTGCTGGCCGGGAAGGGGTTGGACTTGGTGCCCTGCAGAGGCTTGTCGGTCAGCTTGGCCTTGCACGGCAAGGTCTGGGTCTTGGGGTCGGGCCGCGGGGCAGCCTGCGGAGGGAGGATGTGTCCAGGCCTCGAGGCGCTCCCACAAGCTTCGGGCTCCTCGGAGGTGGCCAGGGGGCGGGCCACGAAGGGCAGTTCGGGGGGCGGGGGGGGCAGGACAAGCTTCCTAATAGGCTACAGGAGGCGCAGGGAGTGGGCAGGGTGGGGGCAGCCACGAGCATGCGCAGTGCAGTCCCCAGCATGCACATCGCCCAGGAGGACCAGAAAGAAGCAGGAGGGCGGGGAGTGGGAGGCAGGGAGGCAGGCAGGCACGAGCGGGAGGGGTCGCCACAAAAGAAAACAAGTGACACACAAGAATACAAACAAAACAAAACAAAAGAACGTGCAGTTAGAGCAGCCCTCGCGCAAAGCAGCAGCCGCCATCGGAGCTCGGGCGTGGGGGCCGCACCGCCTGCCTGCGTGCCTGGGGCTGCTTCCCAGGGTCCGCGGAGGCCTGCCCCCACCCGGCACACGCTGACTGGGAGGGTCGGGACTTCTGCATCTGAGCTGGGGGGATCACTCACCCGGGGGCTGCTGAGTGGGCTGGTGGAAAGGCCTGAGGAGGCACCGCTGATGGACCGAGACCTGGGGGTCACAAGGTACAGGGCCACGGCTCAGCCAGGTGCAGCGGAGTAGCAGGCGCTGGGCTCTGCTCCCCGCAGGAAAACCCTCCAGGAGGCCTGGAGCCCGGGTCAAGAGCCCCGAGGGCCTGCTGCATGCCCTGCCAGTTCCAGGAGGACCCAGGGCGCCTGGCTGTGCCCAGCCCCACTGGGGCCTCCATCAGAGCCCACATGTGGGGGCCACCCCATGCCAGCCACCCAGGCACAGCACAGCGTGCAGCACCCTACGGCCACGGCAAAGGACAATCTGGGTGGACAGAGGGACGAGGGGACTGATGGGGACTTCCTGGGAGCTGTATCTGGCCCCTTCTACTCCAGGCCTCATGCTGGCTCCAGCCTCCCATGCCCCAGCTGCCAAGCCCCCATGGCTGAGCTGTCACAGGGTCTGCAGCCTGGCCTCACGTCCACACCTGCCCATGAGGTGCCTGGGTCAGCAGCCAGCCCTCTCCTTGCCCAGAGCCTGAAGGGCCTGGGCAGAGCCAGGCTGGGGTGGCTGTCGGTGGGGCTGGTGAGGCCCTGTCCCACCTCTGCCTACTCCGCAGGAGGGAGGCCCTGGCCCGGTGTGCCGGGCTGAAGACGCTGCTGTGCAGCCACCCAGCCCGCCACCCCACCTTGTGCAGGGACCAGGGCAGCTGGCTGTCACCAAACAGACTAAGCCAGTGCCCATGCACCGGGCACTCGCCATCCTTGGAGGAGGGAAATGCAGGGAGAGACTCAGACGGCCACCGAAGAGAAAAGGACAGAAGAGTAGAAGACCACCTGCGCTGCCCACCAGGATGCCCACCGCCAGCTGGCCACGAGGGGCCTTCCTGGCCCACAACATGGCCCAGGCTCTGGACTGTGCGGAGCGCTGCAGGGGCCAGCGCCCTGAGCCCACACCAGCCACGCACCTGGCTCCCGGACACCTGGGGGCTAGGCCCCACGGCGACGGCCCTCCAGCTTCCCCACCAGACGCAGCCAAAGGGCAGGGAGGCAGCGGGGACCCCATGCCCAACCCAGCCTGCCTGGGCCAGGTGGCACCCAGGGCTGGGACTGCACCCAGAGCCATTAGGGGCTGGGCTGGGAGCTGTGGATGGCCCTCATGGGGCAGCAGCCACTGGCGAGACCCTGAACCTATGGCTCCTGCCGAGCCCGCCCAGAGCCCACGAGGAAGACAGAACAGGCGCCAGAGGCCCCAGGTGGAGGGTCCGAGCCACCGTGCTGTCGAGCCAGGCAGCCACTGGGAACAGTGAGCTACCATTGCTGGGGCAGGGGTGCCCCAAGGGCAGCCAGGGCAGCAGGGTGGGGACACATGGGCAGGGGTCACAGGCAGGCACAGGGCTGATACTCAAAGAGAAGAGGCTGGACTGGCAGCCAGCCCAGCGGGCAGCAGCCACGGGATTCGGTGCCACCTGCCCAGGCTCAGGAGACTGGCCCCAGGCAGAGGCCTCTCGGTGGCACCTCCCACCCTCCTCAGCTCCTGCGGGTTGGCACAGGACCGCTGCTCCGCTTCACCTCTGGCTGGCCCCAGGGGTAGCAAGGCCACGGCGGCATGCTGGATGTAGCCCAGAGGCTGGCCTGGCAGGAAGCGTGGCACAGCCTTCGGCCACACAGGACTCTAGACCAGGCCCTGGGAGCCACGGTGCGTGGGCGCCGGCCCAGCCTCAGCAGTCCCACCCCTCCTCCTTGGCCTCTGCGCAGCCTAAGGGCCCTTCCCTGGCTTGCTGGCCGGCTCCACTGCCGCAGGGGCCCTGCGGCCCAGCCCGCCACCAGACCCGCCCATTTGCCTGCCTGGACTGAGGCAGGACGGCGAGTCTGGGGCTGGGAGGTGCCGGGACGGGTGGTCAGGGTGTATACCTGTCTTCTTTGCTGAATTGGGGATGGGCCTCAGCGATATCCAGGCTTTTACTGAACATTGCTTTACTACAGCAGGAACAAAGCGAGAAAACACAGTTACTGGTGGCCACACGTGGGCACAGTCGGCCAGGGCCTGGGCTACACCAGGCGAGAACTCCATGCGGCTCTGAGGCCCGGGCATAGCCCCCTGAGCCCAGGCCGGTGCACAGAGACGGTGAGAGAGGAGGCCGGGCCGGACAGCACGCCCCGCACCTGTGACTGCTGGGCAGGGTGGCCTGGGCGGCCCCACCCCAGCCCCCAGGACCCCTGCGTCCCTAGTCAGCAGCCCCGTGTGGCCCAGCACTGAGTGGCTGGATCTCTGCCGACTGCACAGATGGCCACGCCAGGAGCGGAGTCTGGCTAGGACATGCCAGGACTAGTGGCTTCCAGAGGCCCCGCAGTGGTCCACACCTTGGCCCATCCCACGCCTACCCCAGGCAGCCAGACCTGGGAGCTGCAGCAGAGACCAAGAGGGCAGCCTCCCACACCACTGACCGGAGGCCAGGCGGTGGGGTGTCGGGGCCTGCCCTGTGGAGGCGCCATGCAGGCAAGAGGCAGGCGCAGGGCTGGGGGCTGAGGTGCACCTGTGACATGCAGCCTCTGAAGGTTAGAGCCATGGAGTGGAGACTGGAGGCTCCCAGCTGACCCCTGTATTGGGGCCAAGGCTGTGACTGACTGCACCCTGGGAAGGAGGTTCCAGGGGGCTGGGACCCGAGGTTGGAGGCTGGGCCAGCCTGGAACCCTGGGGAGGGCCTGGGACTCCCAGAGGGCCATGGCCTGGGAGCCGGCGGAACTGGGACCACCAGTACAATGGCCAGGGCTGGGGCTGGAACAAGTTTACCTTATGGCTGCCAAGCTACCTCACCGTTCCTCAGTTTCCCCCAAGTTCCCAAGGAGCAGGCCTAGCTTGTCCCGGCACCCAAATCCTCAGTACAAGGAGGGAGCCCTGGGGTGCTGAGATCCAGACCACAGGGTGGACTGGAGTCTGCCTGGGCTCCCAGACCTCCGGCTGTGCTCCCCACAGGCTGGAAGGCCCCACCTGGCGAGGGATGCCTGGGCTCATCCCTGAGAGGCCGCACCAGCTCCAAGGATTTGCTGAGGGCCTTGTGCAGGCAGCCTGGCCCTGCCCCCACCCAGCAGAGGCACCACTGGGCCCGGGTGCCCTTTCTCCGGCCACGGGTCTCGTCAGGGCAGCCCACACCTGCTCCTCACTGCCGAGTTCTGTGATGTCCCTGGCCACACACATCGCACTTGCCACCCAGAGACAGGCCCAGCGTTGCTCGGGCCAAGGGGATGGGCTAGCTGGGCTGATGGCTTTGAAGCATGACGTGACCATATCACAGCTCAGCCTGGCCAAGCTTGGGTCAGCCCAGCCCTGCCCTGCCCTGCCCTGCCAGCCCAGCCCTGCCCTGCCCTGCCAGCTCAGCCCTGCCCAGCCTGGCTCAGCTCAGCTCAGCCAAATCTGGTTCAGCCCAGCTCAGCCCTGCCCTGCCCAGCTCAGCCCTGCCCTACCCAGCCCAGTTCAGCTCAGCCCTCCTCGGTCGTCTAGTTTAATGCAGCCCAGCTTGGCCCAGCTGAGTCCATTCTAGCCCAGTCCAACCTAGCTTAGCCTAGTCTAGTCTAGACCAGACCAGCCCCGCCCAGTCTAGCCCAGTGAAACCCAATCCAGCCCAGTCCAGCCCAGCCCAGCCCAGCCCAGTCCAGCCCAGCTCAGCCCAGCCCAGCCCAGCCCAGCCCAGCCCAGCCCCGCACAGCCCAACCCCGACCCCCCTGAGACGCCGCCCGCCCGGCCCGGCCC